GCCACCGCCACGTGGCTGAGGTCACGTGTGTGGCTGGTGTGGCGCATAGTGGCTTAGCTGTGGCTTAGCTGTGGCGCAGTCACATGAGTGGCTGAGCTGTGGCAGAGCTGTGGCTTTCTGGCTTGGTTGTGGCGCTGAGTGGCTGAGGTCACGTGCTAGTCATGTGATGTGGCTTGCTTTGTGGCGTGGCGTACTCCTCTGTGGAACAGGTTAGTAAGCCCTTGCGTGAAATCAGGTGGGGTGGCTCAGTGGGGCTCAGATCTTGGCGGCGGGGAAGTTTCCCAAAAGGGCAAGCATTCCGCACTTACCTCTTTCGGTAATTTTCCTAGTTAGGAAATTATCCGTAACAGGAAATATTTATTTCCTGATAAAGTAAGTTCCCAATCCGTTCCCAACATTTCCTAATCCGATACACACCGATGGGATGCACGTAAGCACCGTGGCATCTTACATGCATATGCTTGTTTCGTATGGGTGGGCCTACCCATGCCAACATCAAGCATCACGGGCGTGCAGGGAAGAATTTTCTCGCGTAGTACTTAGAACGGGCGGCTTGCCGCTTTCAGTATTCAAACTTCGCTTGAATCCTTCTTTCCTGTTCGAGCAGGCCTTCCGGTTCCGATCTGTTTTAGGTTGCCATCCGTTCCGTCCCACACGTCGCTTAGGATACGAGGTCGCGGACCGACGGAAATGCCTCACACCACTTCGTGGTCATGTACGCATTAAGGCCACCCAGACCTTCGATAGCCTCGTGTGCCCCAGCGTGGGGCGGCTGTCCGCGTAAGCCCCACGGAATCGAATTACCCTGTAAATCCCCCCGTTAGGAGGGGGTGTGCGGAGGTATTCGTTGGCCAGACACACCACTTTTCAGGCGATAACAGCCCCTGCTAAGGCTACCTGCACTCACGGGCGCAGCTCTGCCCTCCGGCGGGACCTGATAATAACGAAGAAATTTGGTGTGGCAGCCATTCTTTGGCCTGCGGTTTGACCGTAGTGCTACAAGACGAGCGACCCATCAGGGGAGGAAATTGTCCATAAAGACCCCCTCTCCCCGCCGTCCGAAAGGTCTCCAGCACGAGACGAAAAGGTACCAACAGACTCCACCATCGCAACAGAGTCTACCTTAACGGCACCCTTCCTTTTACGCTACAAAGCCTCTTCCTGTTCTCCTTCCCCTCTACACAGTGGAAATTAGTAGTCCTACATGGCTGCCTAACGCGAACACTAACGCTAATGTTAACCATAACCCTAACGCCGCTGCGCCACCGCCACGCGGCTAAGGTCATGTGTGTGGCAGGTGTGGCGCATAGTGGCTTAGCTGTGGCTTAGTTGTGGCGCAGTCACCTGAGTGGCTGAACTGTGGCTGAG